TCTAGCTGCCCTGAGGATCTTAAATACTCTTCATCTTCTTGTCAGGTTTATTTAAAATGAAACATGCTTTAGGTTAAACTGGAAAAAGTACATTTGTGCTCATCAGGAACCCAGGGAGCACGGTGAATACGCTGGTAGGAGGTGCAGTGACTTTGTAGTTGGAGGTACTACTCCGATGAAAGCACACCTGGGCACTGCAGACAAGTGCCTGTACAGGTGTTCTGGAGGAATGCTCCCTTGCATGTTTTTGGGAGGTGCAAGCTGCCACTGTGACAAAGCTCCACAGCAGAGCCAGGCCTGCAGTGTGCATGAGATCACCTGGGTTTGAAGGCCAGGTCTGCTGGCACATGCATGGGCCACTCTGTGCCTGCCTGGCGGCAGAGCTCGTTCAGAGCATGAGCAGCTGCAGAATCTCCCTTTCCACATGCACTTCACTTAATCTGAGATTCCTCTCTATGATTTTTTTTAATTTATTTTTAACCACCTTCACTATCTCTCTTCTTTCATGTGTTTTCAAAAAAGCAGATGAATTTTATTTTTTGTGTATTTTAATGAGGAGTGGTTGGTGGTACGAAAGCGACTTGCTAGCCAGGTCATTTAAGACACAGAATTTTGGGCATGCTTTATGCAAGAAATGGACTTTGGCGCTATTCTGCTATCAAGAAGGTATCCCAGCATGTGTTTGGTCTTGGTGAAAATTCATCATGCTGAAAAACACTCTAGTTGTAAAGACATTAAGTGCAAAGTCACAGCACACAGTGCAAGCAACAGGTACTGCCAAAGCAGGTATTCAACACTGCTCCCCAACTGTGATTATCCAAGTAATTTTATACTACAACCTCTGAATAAGGCCTAAGAGAAACAAAGTAGTAATGGCAGATTTTTGGACCACTTGGAATGAAATAGAGCAACAAAAACAGTGTCTCCCTGTCTTGCAACAAAAGAATTTGCTACAGGCTCAGTAATTCTGCAATTTGCCCAGTGGTCTCATTTAATCCTGTATGATTAAAACAGAGACAAAACCTAGTAATTAGCGATGATACAAAATGTTTAATTTACATGCAACATTTATGGAACATCAAGGCAACAAAACATAGTTTTGGCATTTTTTTCAGTATTTTTGAAAAATTATTTATGTTCAGAACTGAGAAAGACACAACTGATTTCCCATGCACAAAATGACACCCAGAAACTGACAGTGGTGTCAAGGCTACATAAAAGACTACGGTTAAATGACACATGAATTTCACACCGGGAGCTCCAAGAAAAGAGCCATCAGCAAACATGACTGAAGATCATGATTATAGCCCCCTCCAAAATATTGGATGTAGAGGGACATAGAAGTGTTTAAGAGCAAACAAGACCGATGAAATTGCTGTACCTTGATGAAGAATGTCAGCTTGAGGGATCCAGATTCTCTCTCTGTATTTGTGGTAAAAATGCATCTCTAGTTTACAAATTAGTGTTCAGTAATGACACCCAAGTGCCATGGAAGAACAGGTGCTAACGTGCTAACAAAATATGAAAGTTAGATGAAGTAATGGACATTCTAACAGTGTATGAAAGGATTTAATGGTCAGACTTTATTACAGAGAAATTAACCGTGTGGGTATGTGAGGGCTTGAAAGACAAGGTCTGGTGGATTTTGCTAAGCCACTTTAAAAATCTGCATGAAAATGGCATCAGTAGTTGTCTACCCTGCCATGGATCCAATGACCTCCAGCACTGCAGACTGGAGAGTTGAGATGTATCCTGAACCTCCTATAGGAAAATCCAACAGTGCCCTGGTCTCCAGAGGTGCATAGCCTCATACACACAGAGGCTAAACATCTCCTGTAGTCTTTAGTAAGGACAAGAATGAATCCTCTTTCTTTCAAGCCCACCCTAGGATGACCAGATTATAGTAGTAGTGCCAAGGTACCATTACAAGAGGCAACTCAACTGGAACGGTACAGAGGGTAGTGACATACTGTAAACACATAAGAGCAAGCAATAATTAAAAACCTGTCTTGTATTGCAGCTACTCATGTAAACAATTTATGAAACTTCTTTGGCACAAAAAAGCATTTTTCCTAGCATTTATAAATACAATGTACTTACATGCATTTAAGTTCTATTAAAAAGTTACTGGTCATGTTGATAAGCATTACCTTGATTAGCAAAATTCCTACATAAAGGATCCATTGTATTTTACAAAGAATTAAGAATATAGTTTGCAATTCAAAAATTTATTTGCAAACTTCAAAACAGTAGGGTAATCTGGAAAATCAGTTTATTTTAAAAAATGTCTCTTTTTTTATCTTTTTTTCTCTATCAGTAATTGAAACTAACGGAAAGTAATTTCAGAAAACTGACTGAAGTTCAGCTGTATTACCTAATCAAGAAAAATACCTATTGCACTACTACAGGAATGAGAAAAATCCTTTACATGAGAATACTGTCATTACATTGTCTTTGTTTTCCTCCTTGTGATCTTGCCAATAACCACACAATCCAACCTTCCTAAGGTGCTTCTTAATGTCCTTTGTCCCCATCTTTCCAGCAAGGCCAATAAGCCAAGAAATTTCTCTTACAGTGTTCGATTATCTGTAACTCAAATCACTGAAAAGCATTTAGTGAGTTTCCTCAACATTTACAAATTGCTATGTATGCTTGATTTATATGCTCAACTTACATTTGTTACTCACATGCAACTTCAAGAATTAGTAAGTGTTTCAGAGTGATTCTTCAGTGCGATTCAGACATCTCCAGCGTGCCATGATGCTAACAGGAATGCAAGATCTAACACAGAGTCAACTTGAGAAGAGCTGTTGACAGGTTAAATATGCTATTTGAGGTCCTACGCAACATACACAGATAAATATTTTATCTAAAAATACAGCTTTTCATTTGCCTAACTGGCGTTAAGGATTCCCTGTCTGCTCTGCAAGAGCTGATAGATACTTAAAGCACTGCAGAGAAGCACCGTGGCTGGAGCAGGGCCAGGCCATTGCAAGGGGAAACAAAGGTCATGGCAGTTAAGTAGGGGACTGATTTCAAACTGTTTCATTTTAAAAATCAGTCATAAGCATTAGATTATATGTTCTGTTCCTGACCAAGAGCTTTAAATAATTCAAGACTAAAAAGAAAATCTGAAAAGTCCTCTATGGGGGGAAAAAAGTGAATGAAAACTGATAAAAGTTGTGAATTAAACAGGTAACCACAAAAAAAAAAAAAAACAAAAACCAAAAAACCCCAGAAGATTGTTTTTTAACTAGCAGTCTTAATTACAAGTCATTTTATGGAATGTAAACCAAATGCATACAACACAAAGCTCTTCCTTCTTGTGTATCTCTCAAGATGGTGTTAAGCCTGGACTTGTCATCTCTGTTGTGGGACTTGCAAGATATTCACTTGATTTCAGACTTGTGAGAGATTTGTAGCTTGCTACTGATGTAAGAGAGCCACAAAGACCAAGTAAAGATGGAGTGTCTTCCTTCCCTGTGAAGCAAAACAAGAATTAGGCTAATGATTTTTACAGTGCAAGATGACCTTACCACAAAAGTACCAAGGAAACAAAAAAACCCACACTGTTTCATCCACACTATTATGAATTACATATTACTGCTTCAGCACACACACATTTCATAAATGCAGTTTGGAAGACGTGCCCTTGATGCCACAGCTTCCCTGTGCAGGTGGTGCAGATCCCTACCCATGCATTACAGTTAGTCCCCTGCAGAGGGAAGTCCAGAGGCTCCACTCACTACACAGTGATCTGAAGTTACTGATTCAAGCACCAGTTTCAGTCGACCACTTTGTACAGAAATTGAAGTGACATTACTAATACGACATCAGCACCAGAGATCGAATTTTAAAATCACTCAGAAAGGAGTAGAATTAACAGGAATCGGGATATATTCTTTAAAAATAAACATTTTGGTTTTTAACCTTGGTAACTTGATAGTGCATTAGGCCCTGACAGCTGGTAAAAGCCCTACAGTGCACAAGCAGCAGTGTTAAGTATCTGCCCTGTCATCCAAATACACTTGGCAGAGAAGATGAAGCACCTATAGGTATATGACTGCATTGCAATATTTATGTCTTCCATTCTCAGAATATCCATTTGAGTTTTTTTGTGCCAACTCTGCTAATAAATTACATTATATAGAATTTGATCTACCAGCATCTCTCCATTTCATCCCCCTGGCTCACCTGCAGAATAGGAAAAGATCACCTTAAACTGCTTTTTAAAAATCACGTCTATAAAGTAGCACTTATTAAAATTTTATCTCCTATTCCTGTCAAAAAAAAAAGTTGTATTCTCATGAGAAGCATGTAAGATAAAAATGAAACAACCCAAACCATGCCCTGCCCAACAATTAATAAAAAAAAAAGGGTAACATGTAGTTCTTTTGCATAATTTACAGTTCTTATGAGCAGATTTCAAAAGGTTTTGAGCCTTACCTCTATGAGCTTGTTTCAAGTGTCTGAATGAACACCTTTCCCTAAGGAATCAACTAGATTAGCTCTTTTAAAAAGTTTTCCTTTTTGGAAGAATCTTTATTTCTCTAACAACTACTCTTCTAAGACAACATTCAATTTGAGCACACAAATTGCACAAAGAGCAGTGTAACACTGTTTGGGCACAGCCCTTGATTTCAACAAGTGTAAAGCTAAAATTCTGTCGACAGGAATGGGCTTAGTAGCAACATGAATGTTCCCTACTTCTATTCTTTTAATTAAAACTGCCATACTGAGAGTTAGACCAGAAATATTTAAAAACATGCTGTGCCTTACAAAATTTTATTAAAGCTTGGGTGCTGATAAACATCACCAATTTAGAAGTGAGAGGTTATGCTACCTTTAAGGACAAGAGTATTGAAAACAAAACTTATTCTATTATTACCAGTGGTTTTCCCGCACCTGAATTTATAGAACATAAAGCACAAGTTCAAACAAATAATATTACAACGAACAGTTGAAAGTAGACCTGCACAAAAAGTCTCTATAATAGCTGTGGTGAATCTATTTCACTTTCTCTAAGCTAACTTGAAGGAATTTAGATTTTAAAAATGTTTACAGTTTTAAAAACAGTTCTAACTTTTACATCCATGATATTTTAAAACCAAGAAATTTTACAGTTATGAACTAAGGCTCTGCTTTGTTAAGTTTATTTAAAGTTAATGTTTGCTGAGATACAAAAAGTTTTTTTTTTTTTATAGCTGTTTATGTTCTGTACCCAAAATACTACTTCAGAACTCTTCCAGCATTTTTCTGCATTTCACAATTGGCCACAAGATGGAGCAGCTAAACTCTGGTAAGTGTACAGATTTTGAAAGCATGTGCGTCTATTACATTTATATACTAGCATGGGTCATATCATGTTTATCTCTCTATCTCAAGAGAAACTCCTAGGCCACACCTCGAAAGATAAATGTTGAATGCAAGATGTAAGAATGACAGTGGCAGTTGCAAATCCAGTGCCTTTAATCTTTCTTTTAAGAAACAAAAAAGAGCACTTAACGCAAAAGATTTGAGTTAGTTATAGCAGTAAGATGACAGAATTTCCTCCTTGTAGCTGAACTGTCTTGTTCTGTGATGGAGAAGGAAGATATGCAACACCTTTGAAGCTTAGCTTTAAATACAGCACAAAGTCTTAGTACTGGGGAGGTTGGGCACCTTCATAAATCCAAACTTATTTGAAGTATAGTCTTTAAGAAAACTGAAACAATTTGCACAAGGATGAAAAGTATGTGCTGTTCAATACAAATTTTGTTTGTACTGAAAATTCATCTCACAAGGACTGAAAATCAAAGCTATAAAGAATAAAATAAAATGAAGTCACCAGAATGGCTCTGTACCTTCATTTAATAAGTTAATTCCATCCTGCTTCCCATCCTGTGAGTGACCTGCATCCAGGGAGGATTGAGAAAGACTAACTTCTGCTGAAAGTTGGTCCAGACTTTGAAAACTTTTCCTACAAAGCAAGTAATATTTAATAGTAATACGTTTACACATCTAGAGGTATATTCAATTATCCTTAAAAAGTTTTCTAAAAAAAACCCCATGGCACTTAATCTTTCTTCTCTTAATCAGTCTATCAATCAATTTTATTTTTCTGTCTCCTAAAAAGTTTTTTCCTGGAGAATTTTTTTTTTTAAAATAAATTAATCCAAAATAAGGAAATTTATATGTTAAGAAACTTTTTTTTTTCCTGCCAGCTGATCCTTGTACATTGTAACAGGTAATTCCAATAGGACATTTCTGAACATGCTAAGGGAAACGTACAATTTTGAGTTTCCCTGTTCCTCTAAAGGTGAATCAAAATAAATATTCAGCTTACTCATCCCACTGTTGATTGTGCTTTCTATAGAGTAGAGTGTCCAAGGCAACAGCATTGACATCCAGAGCTCCTGGGGAAGGCCACTGATTGGTGAGATGAGTAGTTAATTCTTGTCTTGATCTCAAGTCATTATTCTTTAGCACAGTCCTGTGAATACAAAAAGCAGTAAACCTCAACCTATTAAATGCAATTCCTTAAGGTACAGAGAGAAAATCAAGGCAAATAGGCCTGATCAAATTGGTGTTGTACTTTGACCATCAGGTTGCAGTAAGGCAGGCATCTGAAACTGTTCATTTTTCCTATCAGAAGCAACTTACAAACCTACTAAGACCTATTTAGAAACAGAAAAAAAAGTTAGAATTATTATCTTTCTGCAAAAACAATAAAACAAGCAACTGCATTGTGAAGATTCTTTCTGCCAGGATGATGGTAATTAACAGGTAATTAACATTTTGCAAAGCAACTATAGAAACATGATGTCCTTTACACCCTGCTCCGACCCCGCCCTATCCAATGGTTTTTGCAGTTTGGAACCACCCACCCCTACACCAAATACTCCTACAGAATGAACTAATAACTAGACATTAATTCCATTATATGCTGCCAGGTAAAAATCTAACAGTTAATGTTTTCTACCACCTTACAGTTTCTAGTAATTTATGTTCAATTACAGAAAAAGTGTTAACTAAGTGCATGTTCAAATCAGTTTTGCCTCATATTCCCATTTCTAAAATTCTGCAAATGAGGGAGCTAATATGCCAATATTGGAAAACATCTGCCAGAAGTCATACAAAAATAAGTACATGGTTCTCCACACTCCAAGACAAGATCAGCCTTTTTCTAATAGTACAAGGCAACCATCAACCTACCCTTAAACTGCTATAGAATAACTCTTGAAACAAAAATGATATTGCTTTCTGTCCCTTAAATCCTCCAATTCGCAAAATACCAGGCAATAGTAAAATGCTGCTTTCCACACTTTTGATTATCTGTGGCCTGAAGAAGCAGCTGATGTTGTGCATCTTCATAGCGAACGTACTCGGGATTTCAAAGGCAAATACCATTCCAAAATGCCACAGTGCACAGCAGGTGAAGTGCCTGTGCATGGTACACGTATTTATGTGAATTCACAAATAACATTGTCAACAACCCAGCTTTTATTCTGTTGGTATCTGAACTGTTTAGACAAGAACCTCAGTAAGGGCATATAACACCGCCCAAAGAGCCATAATTCCCCACCATTAGTAGGGGTTCAGTAAGGAATTTTTAGTAGGCAAGTTTGAGAGAGTAGAGAGAAGCACAGCAATTTTGCAAGAGAAGGTGGTGAAGCACCACAGTCAATAAAACTACTTACGAGAAACTTTCCTCATGATGATGAATTCTTCCAGCACTCATGCAAGTAAACCAACTTTTCTCCCCCCCTTCTCTCGAAAAGTTCTATTGGAATAACCACTTTGATAACACAAAGCTCTCAATCATTTCGAGTGTCTTGTATGGTATTTACTGCCTCCTGGAACTCCCCTAATCCCATGCGGTGCCCTGAGTTCATTAAAGGCCTGGAAACATGAGTAGGTTCTCATGAGGTCAGCAATCACTACATCACCTCCTTACTCAGCAGGACTTCATGAAAGTTTCATAACAGGACAGTTTGTATTAGCAGCTATGCACACGACAACTAAATGCAAGCTCATACACATAAAAACCATACATGCAAATTATCATTTGGATAAGTTCTGTATGTTGTTATCACCACACAATTCAGCAGCAGTATCTATTATTAAATAAACATGCCAAGAAAAGATGACAAAACCACACATATACAGTCAAATTTCCAATAGTGGAATTTTGGCAATTTATGTTGTTTTCTGTACAAATCTTTATGGTATAGTAACCTGAACTCTCACCCGTTCTTTGTGGACAGAGAAGAAACTTACTTAAATCATCCAGTCATGCTCAGGAAGAAAACAAGGTAGCACTCTTGTTCCTCAGAATGCAAACACTGCAACTGGTGGTGGCCAGCTCTAAGCTACAGGTAGTGCAGGCTGTGAGGTAGGACTTTCTTAATGATCACAATGAGTACAATGAAGACTATGAGCTTTCCTCTATATGTTTACAGTCAGTCTGTTTAATCAAAAGAAAAATAGCTACTATTAAAACTATTTTATCTGCTATGATAGCAAAGTTAGATTGCATACAAAAGCTTTCAGAGGAAAAATTATAAAAAAGTCTTCACAGAGCAAAAATAAATGAAGAATTGGTGGAGATGAGGCAGATAGGGATAACTGAAATTTAAGTTTCACAAAATATTCAAGAATAAAATGCAGAATTAGTATTTTCTGTTATTTACACACACATTAAAAAAAAGGAACTAGTCAACTCTTTGGGCCTTAACTGGGAAATATTTCCAAAGTGTTACCAAAAGTTCACATAATATATAAGCTTCAATATAAAATGCTGATCTGTAGTAAAACATACTGAATAGGAACAGCCTGTGTACAAAGAGATTTTATTCTATTGCTTCTGCTCATGACGAGGAACACCCACAGAAAATCAGAATGACCTGAATGCCTGTAGATCAAGACTCACAGCCTAGACTTTATGAAGGATATTACCTCATAACTTCTAAGCATAACAGATATGGAACAAAATCTGTAAACAACGGAAGAATAACACTAAAGATGACAAGTATGCAGTTCTATTTTTAAATAAAATTCAATAAAATATTGTTTTCTTGTTTTTGTAGCTGTGATAATTCAAGGATAAAGCAAGATAAGATTTGCAGACAATATGTTAAGCCATTCAATACAGGACTAAAAGCAAGGACATTCTAAGAAGTAAAGAAAAGAGAGATAATATAGAAAGAAGTTTAAGAAGAAGGAAATGCAATCAAATTTGAATGAAAACAATGAAATGGACATTTATAATAAGCTGTTAGCTTTTTTTTTCCAGAAAAAAATAGAAAACTTCAAAAGCCAAAAAGGAGGTAAAAACAATGGCTTCTGAATGTAATAACCTCAGGAAGGTAGTACATGGAGAATATAGTGGATCTTAATAAGAGCTTTCATGATTATTTTTTTGAAAGAAAGAAAGGCAATGTGTGAGACACAGCTGAATAGGGTACCCTGGACTAATGTGGGGAGACTGTAGAAAGTTCTGTGACGAGAAAGCAGAATATTTAAGAATTTATTCAGAGAGCAGAGGGGTTAAAATGGTTTATGGTACATCACCTAATCTAGGCATGAAAAAAACTTGTTGGTTGTCTGCAAGTCTGAACTTTCCCTCCTCCCCATCCACTAACTGGTATCTTCTCTACTTAAAATCTCTTCCACCTCTTTACAATCACATTGGTAAAAAGTAGCAAAAGCTCTCTTTTGTGATCTGCAGAAAGAAAATTATTTTTTTCCTCACACTCTCAAGATTTGTGCCCATAGCAGTCCTCATCACAACAAATATTTGTATAAGGTAACCATATAATATTTAAAGTTCATACAAAAATCAAGAAATACTGAAGCGATGGCAGGTAGAGAAAGAATATCTCTAATTCCTTTGGATATCTAACTCCTAGGATATCCTGTTTAAGTTCTGACATTTAAATGGTGGTGAGGTGTGGGATTTTTTGGTTGTTGTTGTTGTTTGTTTTTAATTTTTTTTTAAATGGTGGGGTTTTTTTAATGTCTAAAAAAATAAAACCTCCTTACAAATTCAAAGTACTACTACAAGTAATAACTTGTGAGGAAAAACAAGCAGCAAAAGAGATGAGGACATCATGTTAATACTAGGCTACATCACTACAAACTAACAAATATTTGGCTTACATGTATATTTTTTGTTCTCTACATCAGGAACTGCTATTTAAATTAAGCTACTCTTAGAAAACAAAGAAAACTATTCAGTAAAAACATCCTGCTTACAAATTCCTGCCTACTACAAAAGAGTACTGACGATTCATTAATCAGTCAACACAAATGTACTCCTATTAGGAATAAGTGTCTGCTTGAAGTGCAGATTCATACTTCCCTCCAGGCCTGCAAATTTACTTACTTTTACTCAATAACAGCAACAAGGCATAATAAGGCCAAAGTATTAACATGAAGTTTATACAGCTATTGCCAGCAAATTATCTGCATCTTTTGACTTTCAGTCCTTTAATTGTCTATTTAAGAAGCAGGGAAAGTGAGATTAGTGAAGCCTTCTGATAAACACCCTTCACCACTTGTGTTCACTGGCCCTGTCTTTGTCAGGCACTCTCCAGAATATTTACTTGCTCATTTGTTCACTTTTATTATTTTATTTGAGATATTTATTTAATGATCTATTATTTGGAGATTATTTATCAAGGACAGGCAGAATCCCATTATGTATGGTACAAATATAATAGTAAAATGCAACTGAAAAATTACTGAGCATTTCCACCCCTGCTCCACACACAGCATGATGCATTTTGAGTTCTTCTGGTACAATTATATAGGAGCCACGCTGAAAATAGATCATCAAAATGGCAAATTTTAAATTTACTATTATTTTAAAAAATGTGATTCATAAGGTAACCTCACAAACAGTTCTGTTTGCACTAGCGTCACTTTTGGCAGCTCAATTATCTCTCAAAAGAGTAAGAAATCCCTCCTTTGAATTAACACATCTAAGACTTCTGCATCTTGAAAGTGTGACCTGACTTGATTTGCCCATTCATAATGGGGGATAGGGACAAAAGCCAGTCTGTATGTGAGGTTCCTGCAAGGAAAACAGAAATTATAGGAAAACGTGATTATCTTTGGTCACTTACTATACTGTAACTGTATGACCTCTGAAAATTTTAAAATAAATAAAAATTAACCTCAAGTGTACTCCAAGCCACTATAGAAAAGCTTTATCTTGGTAACCACATAAAATTTCTAATCTCATTTCAGCTAATTTCCCCTGGATCAAATCCAGATTCATGTCACTGGAAGCCTATTCTGAAAGGCCCATTTACACAGATTTTTTTGTATAACAAACAGAAAGTCAGTTCTGCTTCCAAATATGCCTATGAAAAACCAGTAATTTCTTACCTGCAAGTTTAATTTCTCCAAATCCAGAAAATGCCAGTCCAGTTGGCAATCTGCCCTCATACCAGCAGATGAAGACAGGAAATAAACCAAACAGACTAA